CCCCCCCCCCCCCGCCTTTGCCTCTCTCAGTGGCCTCTCGGCCAGGTGCAGGTCTTCCGGCCAGCCAGGTGACCCATCTCTGGGAGGAACGGTTTCTGTTGCTTCAAGTCCCACCCCCTGCTCAAGCAGGAGACCCCCCCCCCCCATTTCAGACAAGTGGCGGTCCAGGGTCTCCTCCAAAGCCTCCAGTGTGGAGCGCCCACGACTCCTGGAGGGCAGCCCTTCCGCTGGTGAGCTGACCTGACTCTCGGGAAATGCCTGCGGTCTCCGAGGGGCTGCCCCAGAGAAGAGGAGGGGGTCAGCCTGTTCTCCAGAGCACCTGAAGGCAGCAGGACCCCAAGCAACAGATGGAAAGTAACCAAGGAGAGAAGCAACCTAGAACGAAGGAGGATTTTCGTAACCGTGAGGACAATGAACCAGCGGAACTGCCTGCCACCAGAAGCTGTGGGTGCTCCATCACTGGAGGTTTCCAACAAGACCACCTGTCTGAAATGGTAGAGGGTCTCCGGCTGGAGCCTCTTATTCTGCCGCTCTGACCCCACTGGGCTCTGGGGGTCCCAGCTGGGTGGAACCGAGGAGGGTCGCTAGCGGCCCCCGTGCCTGGCTTTTCCCACCGGGTCCCCTGGGGCCTCCTTGGTGCCCCTGGGATGAACAGGGGTGTCCGGCCTGGCCCTTCTCCTCTGGGCGTTCCCCAGAATCCTTTTCCTTTCCTTTATTCCTGCTTCCTGTTTCCCAACCGGCTTCCTCCTTCCTCTCCCGCAGAGCCTCTGGTTTGCCAACCCGGGGGGCAGCAACAGCATGCCTGGCCAGAACCGCAGCTCGGTCCAGCGGACCCACTCGCTGCCCGTCCACACCTCCCCTCAGGCCATCCTCATGTTCCCGCAGGGTGAGTGAGCCGGGCCTGTCGCCTGGGGGGGGGGGGGGGGGGGGGCTCCGTCTTCGTCCTGCAGCGGCGGATGGCCTGGAAACGCTGCTGGCAGGGTCCGGTTTTGGGGCCCTGGGGGGGGCCTCCCAAAGCGCTTCCTCCTCCAGGATCTGCCCTCCCCCCCCGTTCCTCCCCCCCTTGAGCAAATTCGGGGCCCCTCCCTCCCCCCCCCCCCAGCTCCAGCCAGGCGCCTCCCACGGCTGTGCCTGATGGTCCTTCTCCCCTTTCCTCCCACCTCTCAGATTGCCAGCTGCCTGGAACGGATCTGGAGATCAACCCCACCTTGGAGTCCCTGTGCCTGAGCATGACGGAGCACGCGCTGGGCGGTGAGAGAGCCACCAGATGGCGAGGACGGGTGGGGGGCGGCAGAGGGGAGGCCAGTGAGGGGGCTGCTGTGAAGGGGTGGGACTAGGATTGGCGGGGGGGGGGACACACAGACCCCCATGTCCAAGTCCCCTCCTGGCCGCCAAGGCTGGTGGGGCCGCCCCGTCCCTCAGCCCGGACTCCCTGCAGGGCGGGCATGGACGCCAGCCTGACCTTCTGAAGGAAAAGTAGGATATAAATCTAAGCAACACAGGGCGTCCTCGACTTACAACGGTTCGTATAGTGACTCTTTGAAGTGGAAAAAAGTGACGTACAGCCGTTTCAGCATCCCTGCAGTCACGTGATCCACATTCAGAGGCTTGGCAACTGGCATGTACTTAGGACGGTTGCACAGGGACCCTGGGGGGGGAATCACATGACCCCCTTTTGCGACCTTCCGACAAGCCAAGTCAAAGGGGAAGCCGGGTTCGCTTAAAACGACCGTGTGGCTCACTTAATAACTGTTGCAAGAAAGGTCGTAAAACCAGGGCGCTGAACAGCTGTCTCGCTTAGCAGCAGAAATCTTGGGCTCAGTTGCAAGTCGAGGACTCCCTGGAGACCCCTAAAGCGAGTCTTGGTTCCGCTCGGGAGGAACCGGGCGGCGCTTTGACTTTCACGGACCGCCTGTTTCCCTGGCGAGGCTCTGATCCGAAGGGGCTCGGAGGTCAGCCTGAAGTGGCCCTCCCTGCATCCCGCGAGGCTGGTCAGTCTAGGTGCCCGGTCAGTTTCTGATCTTCTTTGAAAGAGCGGCTTTAAAAGCTGAGCTGCGGCTGCCATCCTTTCTCCTCCTCTAGGGCCAAAGCTCCTGGGACCCGAGGAGCAGCTGGAGAGCCGCCTGACTCCCCGGGAAGGACTACCATGCCCATGCTTCCCACCCACCCCCCAGGGCGAGAGGAGAGCAACCGGCAACCCGTGATATTCATGGGGGTCTCAGTGACGGCTGGAGAAGAACAATTCAGAGCCTCAAAGAGCCCAATTCCTTGCCTTAAAAAAATATACAAAGGTTTAAAGGAGGAGGGGCCTTCAAACTGGGCAGCTTTAAGACTTGTGGACTTCCTCTTCACGTTAGCTCGGGAATTCTGGGAGTGGAAGTCCACAAGTCTTCAACTAGCCAAGTTTGAAGACCCTTGTGATAGATAGATGATAGATAGATGATAGATAGATAGATAGATAGATAGATAGATAGATAGATAGATAGATAGATAGATAGATAGATAGATAGAGGAAGGTAGGTAGGTATGTAGAGATGGATGGATGATATAGATAGATAGATAGATAGATAGATAGATAGATAGATAGATAGATAGATAGAT